ACATTTTGCTTTGGCACCTGAGAAAATCTGATATTTCCTTTAATAAAACCAAAAGTGTTAAAAGTAAAGTTAAAAATGTGATACTGGTGTAAATCCTGCTTAATATGAAGCAGCGTTGTTGTTTCTTTTTTTGTATATATAATATGAAACTATCCAGAAATGACCCGTATGAACCTACTCACAAGCAAAATGTATTTTTATGTTGCTTCTTTTCAGATTTGTGGAGATTTTGATGTAACATACAGAACCCGCCTTTTTGTTGATTTGTTGATACAGCAGTATGGAGGACCAACTCTGCCATATTTAAAAATAAATACAGAAATAAATAAATGCTCAATAAATAAATAAGCATATCATTAATTACCACCAAAAATACAAACAACAAATAAATGTAAGTAGAAATTAAATTATACAGCTAGTCATAAAGGTATATAACTGTTTTTATTGGCTTCTTTATTTCTTTGCCTTTTTAATATTTACCTCATTTATTTTTTTGTCATTTATTATCTTCAACTTCATTTTTTAATTACTTATATTTTTAAGTATTTATTTATGTGCATGTTATCATATTTTTGTCTGTTTTATTCTTCCTTTGTATTTTTTTACCCTAGTTATTTCTTCGCCGCTATTTATTTCTGCCTGCCCTTTTAACATTTCTGCCTGCCATTATAATATAATTTCTAATTACATTTATTTGTTGATTGTATTTTTGGTGGCAATTAATTGTATGCTTATTTATTTATTGAGCATTTATTTATTTCTGTATTTATTTTTAAAGATGGCGGAGTTGGTCCTCCATATACAGCTCTATCTACAGCAGATCTACATGCATGAAATGTCCCTTTCATGTTGCCTTAACTGCTGTATGTCAAGTTACTGAGGAACAAATGGGGTAAATGTGTGTTCAGAGTAAACAATACATAGATGTCCAGTACCTTGTTCGGGTGCCTTGATCCATTTATTTCTACTGTGTAGTTCTGCTCACTTTATTCCAGCTCAGTCCATAGATCTCTGATGGGTAACTTTTTCTTTCTATAGTTTCTTCTTGTGCAAATGCTGCAAAGCTGCCTCTCTGACAGTCAGTCTCACACATCTGCGACTCAGCACCTGTGTCTTACCTTAATACCTTTCCTGTGATAATGCCCCTCTAGAAGTAGTGTTATCATTCTTCTATCTCCTATTAAGTGAGATCACATTGTATAATGTATTATTAATATGAACTGTTTCACATGAAACACTAGTACTCTACATACTATTCTCACCAAACTGTGATAACTGTGATTAAATTCAGTGTAAACAAATGCCATATGTTCCCACCCCTAAAAAATTCCTGCCCCCCTCTTGCCACCCCATAAATATTTTTCTAGATCCGCCCCTGCATCTTAATGAGATAGAAACAAATTAATTAGTTTCGTCTGCAAAGTTCTAAGACTAAAACTGCAGCTGAGTAAAAATAACAGCAAGAACATCTATCAACCAAAAAAATAATGATGGATTTTGTAAAGTTTTACTTTATGTAAATATGGCATTATTGATTACATTTACATAAAAAAGTATATTATATACACATATATAGAGGCCCCTGAGACAATCCAGCACATAACTGCAGGATGCAAGACACTGGCAGGGAAAGCTTACATGGAGCGCCATAACCAAGTAGATGGAATAGTGTACAGGAACATCTGTGCAGAGTATGGTTGGAAACCCGAAGGTCAAAGTGGGAAACAGGCTGAGAATGACCGAGCCAAGATCCTGTGGGACTTCCAGATACAGACGGACCGAATGCTAATGGCAAACCAACCGGACATTGTGGTGGTGAACAAAAAGCAGAGGAAAGTCGTTGTGGTTGACATAGCAATACCAAATGACTGCAGCATCAGGAAAAAAGAACATGAAAAACTACAGAAATACCAGGGGCTCAGAGAAGAGCTGGAGAAATCTGGGAGGTGAAGGCATCAGTGGCACCTGTGGTCATTGGGGCCGTCGGGGCAGTGACCCCCAAACTGGAGGAGTGGTTACAGCAGAAATACATCAGACATCTCGGTCAACAGGAGAGCAGCTCTAGGAACAGAAAAGATACTGAGTAGAACCCTCAAGCTCCCAGGCCTCTGGTAGAGGAAAAAGGGGGGAAGACCCCCCGCGATGGGTGAGGTGGAGTTTAGTCTACATATATACATATATATATATATATATATATATATATATATATATATATATATATATATATATATATATATATATATATATATATATATATATATATATATATATATATATATATATATATATATATATATATATATATATCACAATAGTCAAACATTCGGATGGTAATTTCCAGGAACTATATCATGCTCCTGGGCCAGAAGAAGGAACATGACCAGTTGAGAATTACACTAAGTGATTTACAACTTTATAATCCTTTTAGCGTTTTGGCAAATTATTGTCTTTAGGTAAAAGCTGTGATCTGCTTGACACGAGGTCGCTCTGGTGGTGGCTTTTTATTTTAAATATGCATTTGTTTCTACAGTAATTCCTCCACAGTGATGCAAAAGACTCACTACCAGTTATACAGTCTATGCTAGTCTAAACCACTGGGCCTGGTTGATGTGGAAAGCTTTTAAGAACGGCTTTTGTTATGAGTCGTTACATTTTTTAAACCTTGTTGCTTTATTATGTAAAATATTTGAGCAGGTTAAGATACTGTTTTGCAAATATGAAACCCGCCTGACCAATAATATCACTAAAGTGAAGAATCCCTTAACAATTTAGATAGGCAAGCAATCCTTTGCCATTAAACTCCCCCAGGTGGAATGCGTTAAATGCAGAGTTGAATTTCTCCAATGTGAGATCAATAAAGTTCAATTATTTTTACTGCACACATTTACAATGTTATAATGATTAAGACTGGAAATACTGTTTAGCTCTATTTAAAAAAAAAATATTCACCCTTTCTTTTTGGCTGTGCTTACAAATGCTGTAATGTGATGGCAGACTCTGTGAACTGATGCGCTGTGTCTCAGAAGAAGCATCATGCAAAGTCACGCATAGATGACACATCTGTCTATTCAACAGCCATGCTGCAGGAGTGCAGGTGGGTTCCTCTGTTCATTGCATCACTCGGCTGCAAATTTATTCCCTTATCCAGTTAGAGGAAGGATAAATCCTTCTTCCATTCGACATGCTACTCTTTTAGCTGAGAGGCACTGTGGTTGGATGGAGAAGGATGGAGAGAGTGGGGGACTGAGGGGGGAGCTTTGTTTGTGTTGAGGGCTGGGGGACTCTTAGGGAGGTGTCGACCTGAGCAGATGGACTTCTCAGTGGCGTAGTAAGTGGAGTTTTCACATGGCAGAGGAGACTGCAGGATCTCACAGGACCAGGACCCGGCATCCAGGTGGCCACGGCCCCTCCTGACCAGCTGGAGCAGCGATGGGACCATCTGACACTCCAAGGGAAATGATACACTTTTCTTTCCCTGCTTTGTTATTTCCACACACACAAAGGCTCAGAGCCAATCAAGGAGTTTAGTTAATCAAGCGTAAAGAAAATCCCTTTGATTGCACACAAGCATCCAAGGTCATGGTCACTGAGGAGAAGCAGGTCTTATAAACACTCTTAAGGTGATCAGATGGTTTATTTGAGGGTTTATTTTAAAACCAAACTGATAGATCTATGTCAATTGATTAAGATTTCTTTCCAGCCGTGTCTGCAAGCTTGCATCAGCAGCCGTGTGCAGTGATTTCTGCTCGATTTAAACACGCTGCAATGCGGATTCAGCAAATCCAAGTGAGAAAGTCCCATCTGTGCTTCTCCTCCACTGATCTCGGGCCCTGAAGGCTGCAGAGGGCTAATTGTGGCCCTGTTTTGCCTTCCGAATCTTTTTGTTTTTACTCTGTGTCGGGGTCAGTAAAGCTCCCAAGTGACCAGCAGCAGGAGCAACAGCCATCGGCCCCCGCTGAGCGTCAGTAATTAGAGCCCTCTACTCCAACCCCCCTCATGCTCCCCCACAGACCTTCGGACAGGGAACCTCTCCCTTTCCTCTGAAGGGAAGGGACGGAGAACAGCTGCTGAGAGGAAACCACCCTTTGGTCCCAATGGTTGACCCTCCAACCTCCCTGAAGGGATGGCAGCACCATCTTTCAGATGTTTCACTGAATAATTCCTCTAGCTTTTGAATTTATCATTATCTGCCTTTTTATTGTATTTTTTTGACATTTACATGACTGGTGTTAAACATAAAAAGACCATTTCAGTTTGTTTGTCTAACAAAGGTTGGAAGACAATAGTTTCAGTTTGATCTTTGATATTTTAAACATAGTTATTCATTTCTCAGACACATAGGCAAATATTGGCATATCAGTGTTTCAGCAACTTGTTGCAGTCATGTCAGCAATTCACTGCAAAAAACATCTAGAAATAAGTAAAAAATGTCTTAAATGAAGTGTATTTACCCTTAATTTGAGCAGGCAAATAAGATGATCTGCCAATGGAATGAGTATTTTTACTCTAAAATAAGATAATTAGATAATATACACTTGAAATAAGACAAAGCAATTGTTTTTTCTTATTTTAAGTGTAAATTGTCTTGTTCCATTGGCAAAGTGTCTCACTTACCTCCTGAATTCAATAAAAAATGCACTTAATTTAAGCAAAAATGACTTATTTAGATTTCCATTTTTTGCAGTGAAGTTAAGGTTTCCTTATGTAAAATCTGCTTCTCTGTAGTTTAGCTTGAGTTGATTTCAATTATATAAGGATGACCATGACCCACTGGAATTGGAAATGCACTGAATTCAATTTGGTGACAAAATTTCAATCAAATATAGAATTTTACTCCGCTTTTACTAGTTTTTGTTTACTCTGATTTATCCTAGATATATGTTGTAGCCTTTATGTTTGAGTGATCATTATACATAAACAGATATGGAGGTCTTTGGTAGACAGTAGTCATTATAAAACAGGTAATTAATGATATAGTGAAAACAAAACGATGGACCATCTTATATTAGATTTTATTGCAGTTAGCTTGGTTAGCATCATTGTAGAATTATAAACACAGATATCTGACCTATTAACAGACATATAATTCACTCTGACCAAGATTTCCAAAAAAGCTCTCATCCTAACATCAAGTAAACTAAACTTTTATCATTAAAATTATGTTAAAATATTGCAAAATGCAAGTTTATGACCATGCAGCTGCTATAATAAACTATTAAATTAAATCGGGGTTTCTGCAACATCTTAACAACTTTAAAATGTGTTGCAGATAATTAGCTAAAAAGCATGCTTTGAAGAGTCCTAATTATTAGCAGATTTTCCAATCTGGGCTCTAAATTTCATTTATTTATGTCTTAAGTTTGCCTTTGTTTGACTCTTTCATTCATTGTTCTAATAAAGCTTAGTATTAATGTAGGGTGCTGTTAAAATGTGTGGCTGGCAAATTAAATATCCTTTTTTATTATCATGATTATAACTCCTACATTTAAATAATCGTTATCTTACAACAAAATCATAAAAAGTCCTTCACAAAATGTACTTAAAATTAAAGAAACCTTTTTTACCTTGGTTGCATACACTGTTCAAGATGTCAGTAAAATGAGAATCAGAAGCAAAATAAAGGACTTAGTGAAAAAAAAATACATTTTGGAGTAGAATGGTTACAATTATTTACTTGTACAGTGAAAAGGAAATTAAAATGTTGAGATTACAGGTCAAAGTTGAAACAAATCAGTGCATTTCACTTTATCTGCAGTGTGTGCATTAGTGTACTCTTGTGCAGAAAGCTGTAAACTGGTGTGCTTTAGAAGTCTGGGTGTGACATCTGCTGGCCAAAAATAAAAAGATTGTAGGATTCCTCCTTTCTAAGCTGTAGTCTTTCTCTGTCTAGAAGCTGTAGATGTTCCCTGCACAATGGCAAACATTAATACAATTAATACACTGATAAAAATTTAAAAAACTTTTTTTTTCTTTACAGAATTCTGCAAAGAAAAGTTGTTTTTTATGTCAAATAAATATCTCTAATTACTGTACAAAATCTTAATAAATTAGAGATTCTTATGATACCCTCAGAAAAATCACTCAATATTTTAAATTTTTTGGGCGTTCAATTGTTTTATTTTGCTGCTGGAAAAATAATTAAATAAACAAACATCCCAAAGCACAAATCATCTTTAGCTGAGAGTCTAGACCCACTGTCACGAAGGACACTGAGTGTTACAGACATCTCCTGACTTGAAGAGCCGGTAAACATTCACTAAGGGGAACATGGTGACGGAGCCGACCAGTGAACCCATCTGTGCTGCGGCTCCACACCAGACCAGGGCGCTGTGGCTCCGATCTCTCAGGATAACCCCAACCATCACTTTCACGTAAGACAGAGTCCCAGTAAACAAGAGCCATGAGATTACCTGGTGGAGATAAAACAGAAGGACTGCCTCATATACTTATCTCAGAGATTAAGTGGGAACACAGTAACACAATTAAAACTCAAGAAGGTAAGGTCATCAGTCATGATGCACGAGTTGAACTTTGTCACAATGACTCAGTGACTTTACTCACAATGATCGCCTCTCCTGCTGCAGACCCATGAAGCAAAGGACAAGGACTCATAGCTGCCATAGCCATGTTATAGCTGCCAAAGCCTGTCCCCAACACAGTCAGCATGCCAAGAAATATCAGAGACCTGAATACAAATGAGGTGTTTTAGATGCAGTCTACTTTTATGGATAAACATTGAAAATAGCTTTTCTTTTCTTTTAAGGTTTGAATTCGATTTTATCTGAATGACAGTGCAAAAGATACTGTGCCTCGTAAATGAATTGATAACCCATAAATTCAAGGCACAGTATTTGTATTGTCATCGTGTGGAAAAACTTAAATGGAAGCTGATACAAGTTCATGGGAAGACGGATGGAGGTAAATAAAAGGAAATCCTTGAAGAAAAGCTGTTGGAGGCCATAAAATACTTGGGCCACTGGTTAATCTCTCAGCAGGACAAGTTAAACATTTAGGTTACAGAATATGTATTTCCTGTTGTGCAAATTAAAGTCCAGACCTGACTCCAGGTGAAAATCTTTAACAAGACAAGAGCTTCACGCTCACTCTAAAAGCTGAACCACACTTTGTAGCCATTTATTTATGAATTTTTTTAAATCTTTATTTTTTTTTTACTTTTACAATAGTGCAATAATTTCTAACGGTCTGTCTCATAAAATTCCCCAAAGAAATATTGACACTTTTGGATCTAATCTCCTGAAAGACACCTAAAGAAGACTCTCCAAGTTTAATCATGAACAAATGGAATATTCATGTACTCATAGCTAATTCCTAAATTATTATTATAATAATAGGAAGAAACACAAAGATTGATATTTTGGAGTGGGCCAGGCAAAGCTTCTTCTTAAATCTAGACAGGGGCGGATTTGGCAAATGTGGGGCCCTAGGCAAAGACAGGCAGGGGGCCCTCTGAATTGAGAAGACATAAAACAGCTCCATTCTACAGATAGAGAAATGTTAATAGAATAGACATCCATTATCTGTTCTAGGTTTTGTCCCTCTCTTCTTGTACCTTTTATTCTTGTTTTCCTCTCTATGTTTTGTACTCAGCTGACTTTTCATGCTGTCTCTAAAGGATTGAAAGATTTTTTCCAAGCACTAAGATCACTTAGCTGATTGCTCCTTCCTGTGTTTCCAAAAAGGCAAAAGTAAATAACCCAGTCCTTCTTTTCACTGTAGAAAAGCCATGATATGCTTATCTGTTCTCCATTTTTCATTTGGATGAAATAATAGCTGCATGAATCATGACAGCAGACAAGATAGAGGAGAGCAGGAGGCGGGGTTACCAATCTACTTGCTCTGGAGAGCAGAGTTCGCTGCTTTTAGATGTTGTCTCCGAAGTCTCCAGTAGCAGAAAAAAAGTCGCTAGATTTGGGCGCTAGGCGCTTTTAGGAAATCAAAGTGCTAGAGGGGTCTGAAAAGTGGCTAAATATAGCAACTAAAGCGCTAAGTTAGCAACACTGCTCTTTGCATGGTTTGTTTTCAAATGGTTTGCTGCTGTCTGTTTGGACCTTTCTGAACATGTGCAGCAAATGGACTGATCCTATATGGTGGACACTGAAGGGGGGTGCTGAGACATACTTAATATTATCAGCGTGATTTTTTATCAAAAACATAATTAATGCGCACAAATAAGAAATAGTTGTATTAACCATACATAGAAACAGAGTTTTATGGGGCCCCCAGGAACTTGGGGCCCTAGGCAGCTGCCTAGTATTGCCTGATGGTAAATCCCCCCCTGAATCTAGAAGAGAAACTTTGTAGAGAGCTACAGATTAGGGTGATGGCAAGGAGGCTTTCCAACTTTAAAGAATTGAATCCTTATGCAGAAACTTTTCTGCAGTAATTAAGAATAGTTGGAATTCAGTAACGTCGAAACAAATATTTCCATAGATTGATCAGAAGGGTTTTTTTTTTTTTTTTTTATATAAAATTGATCCTGTTGTTATCTTTGTAGAGATGCCTCTCAGCTTTTCTATCAGGACATTACTGTTGGAGGAAAATAATTTACAATGTAAATCTGCCATGGGTGTGATTAATGTTTATTCTTGCTGTAAATACACTAAAGCATTTTTACTTTAATGAGACTTGTTGACAACAGAAAAAAAAATTGTGGGGACTTTTCTAAACTAAATGCTTATAATAAAATAGATTTATAAACCTCAGAGAGCTTCCCAGTTAGTAATGTGGAGGAGAAACATCTGTCTGAACCAAACCCATTCTACAGAGACCCAAACACACAACCCACAGAGCATGAGGAATGTATTACTAATGTCCTGGTGCAACATTCATGATTCAACATCATGAGAAAAAAATTAGATGCATCCTGTGAGTCAGTGGCTCATGACGCCACCATTAGCTGCACTGTGTTGAAATGTGTCTCACATTGTTTTGGAGAAATATTTGTTCTCTTTTTAGTTTAAGATTTTAAGGGTTTCTTTGTTTTGTTTTTAGGTGTATTTACCATTAATTTGAGTAGGAACATAAGATGATCTGCCATTGGAATTAGCGTTTTTACCCTTAAAATCAGAAAATTAGATATTATGCACTTGAAATAAGAGACTGCAGTTGTTTTGTCTTATTTCAAATGTAAATTGTCTTATCCCATTGGCAAAGTGTCTCACATACCTGCTCAATTCAAGAAAAATGCACTTATTTTAAGAAAAAAAAAAACGTCTTACTTAGATATACATTTTTTGCAGTGCACACCATTTTGATCTGGATGAAGTCTGGATTTTCAACAGGTAATTGCAACATGGTGATTCCTTTGAATTAATGTTTTCTTTCACTGGTTTGCTGATGTTCATGGACATGTTATTCTGTTAATAAACTAATATCATGAGAGGATATCTGATGGTCAGTGTCCTCAAATTTTGACTCGAAAATACTGATGTAAACAAAACTTGAAGCTCGACTTTTTACCCTCAATTTCATCTTTTCAATTATCGGTTTTGCTTCTGGTGATTAGCTGAAAGGTCTTCACAGAATGTGGTGATAAAGGCAAACCTTCAAAATGATTCCTCTAACGAAATTCTGGAGATCATCACAGACTTATGACAACCATTAGCTCTAATGGCTCAACTGGCCCTAGTCATACTCATATGAGTGAACAGCAGTGCAGTCAGTGGGTGTCAAAAGAGCAGAGTCACTTCATGATGGTCTGAGATATACGTTGGTCAGATGATCATGCATACAACAGCCCTGGTATTTGAAGAAGTGAACTAGTTTGAACAGCCTGTGAGATTGTGTGACTCTGAGCACTGCCTGATAGAAGGAACCCAACCGCCCCCAAAATATGACCTATAGGTTGAGAGTTAAAACTCAGGTATTCTCTGTATTATTGTCTAAGTTGGTCTCACCTCTCCAAATGACACTGAGCCAGACGTCTTGGCATTTCTTCAAGGGGCAATTGGCAAATTCCTGCATCCTTATTTGTTGTGGGGATACTTCTGCTAGCAACATTTCCAAGCCCCTGTTGATGTTATTTGTTTGTTGTTTCTTTTTTTGCTTTTTTTTTCACCAAATAAACTTTTATCATGTCAACTAGACATGATAAAATTTAAGTCCCTTCTTAAGACTCATCTTTTTTCCTTGGCTTTTGGCACAATTTGAGAGGTTTTACTTTGTTTTATTCTCTTTGCATACTCGTATGTATTTTACACTCGTTTTTTTCTATTTTATAATTTTATTGTATTTTATGATTGTGTACAGCACTTTAGTCCTGTCCGGTGCATAAAGTCCTTCATAAATAAAGTTGGTATGGTATGGTATGGTATGGTATGGTATGGTAACTAGGATCTTAGATGGAGTTTGTATGTCTTTTGTATTTCAAAGCATCCAACATGAGCCTAAGAATGAATGTTTTGGTACTTCCACTCTTGCAACATCTTTCATTCTGTAGAATGACAGAGCTCAGTTGTTTGAATGAGGCATTATAACATTAGAACATGTCCATGCTGGTTTCTTTCTGCCTTGGTATTGTGTTGCTACACATCTGTATGCCCCAGAACTGCTAACTGTCAAGATCATAATTTAATCAGCTGTATCTGGTCTATAATAACTCACGGCTTTGGCTCTAAAACCCAAAGTTAGCAACAAGGGTGAAGCAATGTTTTACAAATTTTGTTAACAGTTTTGTAACTCTATTCTTCCTACAGATGGATCTGATCTAATGGTCATCGGCTTGTAAATCCATGACTGCCATGACTGATATTATTAGTGAACGGAATGCACTAAATTAATCTGTTCAGAATTGAAAGCCTGTTTAAACGTTACTCTGGGAACCTGGTGTTTATTTCAAATAAGATGGAAACCTATTGCTGGCAGTATATTCACATGTTTTTACCTGTTTTGGAAGAACATTGCAATGGTGCAGGCCACTGGGTTGGCCACTGAGGCCAGGGCTGCAGAGAGGTGATAGGCGAGGTTCCCATACGGCATACAGGAATAAGTCTGGACTGAGGGCAGCAGTCCGTTGGTTGAAGCATTGACCCAAACCACAAGAAAGTAGATGTAGACCAGCTGGTACGTGGAGTGATGCCGTTCAGCCTTTTCTCCATCTTCCCTCTGAGGTTTCCTTTCCTCTCCATCAGTCTCTGCTACTGGGTTCTCCAAACCAGAGCTGACTGAACCAACTGTGTCGGGCACGAGGTTTTCTGTCGACAGGTCGAATGTCCGAGGAAGTCTGTTTAGTCCAAGAAAAGCCACCAAGCTGATGCACATCATTGCTGCCAGGAAGGAGAAAAACACCTCTGTGGAAAAGTTTGGAGGAAGATACTCTGTTTGCATGGACCACACTTCCTCATCTGTGTGGTTTCCTACTGTCTGAGAGGTGTTTACGCACTTTGCCATACCCACACCTTGGGCCAAAGCGATTACACCAGGTATAAAACCACTCAACCCTTCTCCAATAAAATAAGTAGTAATGTATTTAGGTGGAAGCTGCATCATAAAAGGGAGGAAGGTCACCGAGGATGTGCAGTCCACCAGAGAGAGGAAAAAGGTGATGATGAAGAAGGCGGTGCTGTGCGGCGCCCCTGCCACAACAGTTGTTTTGTCCCAAAAGAAGATGAGCAGGATGCAAGAGATGATTCCGATGGAGAGGATGGAGTAAATGACGGCACGCTCGTTAAGACGACCCGGGCACAGTTTGTGCATGATGGTGACCAGCAGAGGTCCCAGGTTGGCCAGCTGGATGATGACTGTGAGGAAGGAGGGGAGCTCCCAACCTTCAGGCAGAGCGTTGACGATGAGGGGAAGCTCCACCCACAGGCCGTTCACTGCCACCCAGGATCCCAGGCCAAAGGCACAGGCCAGAAGATGCAGGAAATTGGCCATAATGCCGGCAGATCAGTCTGAAGACGATGTACAACTGCTGCAATCCGTCATACCTACATGAACATAAAAACATTGCATAAGAAGATTTATTAAGCCGTTAGAGTTTAGGCTTTACTTTGTCAAAATGAGATGAACAATTGTTTAACATTCGAGCCACTCAGGTCTTCTAGTTCAAACCTTCTCTGTACACCCAGAACTAGAACCAAACATTGAGAAACATTATTTATGCTCCACTGATCAGTAACAAACTTTCTGAAGACTTTAAAAGTGCTGAAAGCCTAATTTCTTTTAAGTCAAAGTTAAAAGCCCATTTAATTAGAGTTGACTTTGACTGTTACTGAGCTATAATTAATTTAATTTGTTGGTCCAACAGTTTGATTTGTTTTACTCATGTTTTTATCTTTACTTTATTTTATTCTGCTTTTATTTTCCTTCTATTTTATAGTTTGATTTATGTAAAGCACTTTGAATTGTCTTTGTACTGAATTATGTTATACAAACAAACTTCCATTAACTTGAACAATATTAACTAAAACAAGGGTCTGAAACATGCGGCTGCAAGTGGCTATTTGGAGCCTCTACAGTGGCTCTTAATGGTTGCTAAACATGATAAAAGGACCAACCAATGATTTTTAATATAATGTATTGTTAAATACCATTCTTAGAAGCTTTTGTGTTTTTGTAAAGCTAAATTTGAGCAAAATTTTCTTAACAGAATGAATTTAATTGATTGTAATTAGATTGTAAACAGAGTGTTTATTGTTTAAATTATGTCCTATAAAAAATTTAAATGTTTCCTTTTAAAGACATGCTTATATTTTGTCTCTATTTTAACCATTCAAAATAAAAACCACCAATTTTGAATAATATAAATTAGTTATTATTTGTGTCATTTATGATACATTAAATATGGAAACTCAAATATGTTACTTTTAGTGTTAAAGGGTTCAAAACTAGGGGCTGCACGGTGTAGCAGTTTGCAGAACTGTTGCCTTGCAGCAAGAAGGTTCCATGTTCTCCCCGTGCATGCCAGGGTTCTCTCTGGGTACTCTGGCTTCTTCCCACAGTCTAAAAACATGACTCTTAGGTTAATTGGCTTCTCTACAACCTCCTTAGGTGTGATTGTGTGCATGAATGGTTGTTTGTCCTGTTTTTCTCTGTTTCGCCCTGCGATGGACTGGCGACCTGTACAGGTTGCAACCCACCTCTCACCCTTGGACTGCCGGAGATACCCACCGGCCCCACCACGACCCTGACAGGACTAACCAGGAAAAGATGGATGGATGGGTAAGAAACTTGAAAAAACACAAACTAATTGTTGCTAAATAAAATGGCAAAACATATTCTATAGCAGATATTCAACAAAAATAATTAGTTGTGTTTTATTTTATGATAATGTAATATTTTGGCTCGGTTTCATAACCCTGGTTCTCAGGGCGCATTATCAGCCATGCTTTAGATGTGTCTCTACTAATGCACACCTGAATCAAATGATTTCATTACCCCTTCAGCAGCCATCAAATGCTAAAATCTATTAATCACTTTTTCATTCAGGTCAGGAGTTTGGAGGCAGGGAAACACCTCAAACATGGAGGACAGTGGGTCCTGAGGTACAAGGTTAAGAAACCGTATTCTAAACCACTTTAATGTTGCTGGGATAAGGGTTAAAACACTCTATGGATTTAATAGGTTTCAGACCCCTGGACTTAACAGACAGACCTCTATGCTCTCATCAAAGCTTTAACTGATTTACACAAGTGCAAGGAAAAAAGAGCAAGGTACTTTTCAACAGTGAAGTTGAGTAAATGATGAACACAAGAAAAAAAAGTCTTCCTCCATCTGTAAATGGTGGTAATCTGAACAAAATGTAGCACCACAATTATTGTGTCCCACTTCTTCACAGGTTTTGATTTGGTTAAAACTGGTAAAACTGTACTGGCAGCAGTAGTAGAACTGGTAGACATATCAGAATCAGAAATACTTTAATAATCCCAGAGGGAAATTATATAACACTAAAGATAAAAATGTAACATTTAAAAATTTGTAAAAATTGTGCAAACTAAATGTGATCTGCAGCTCAAACACATGGTGCACTCAGCAGACGCCCTCTTTCTACAAGGGGACTGGATGCTGTAATTTGTTTTAATTTGCTCTTAGATTAGGTTGATGATATCAGGACCATAATAAATCTTTTAAACCCATACTTTGTGGGTTTGCAGGAGCCTACAGGATGTCCTTGTGTATTTTACTGCATCAATGCTTTTAATAAAGCTTATCAAACCTTCTAAGGCAACAAAAAATCTCATAAATATAAGGGCGTCCTAATGAGAAGTAACTGTGTCTAAGTTTTAATACTGGTTGCCAAAGAGCTCTGGGACTATTTACAATAATACAGCAAAATTCAAAGTAAGATAACTAATAACCAGCTAATAGTTAACTGATTTAGCAGTAGCCGTTAGCGGCACCATAATATGTGTGAGGACCAACTAGAGAGCGGGGCTCCTGGTGATCCACAGTCGGAACAACGTTATTCAGGATGGGGTTCCCTATCGTGCAAACTGTCATTAAATCCTTTAGCTTAATAAAAACATCATACAGTTACAAACTGAAAAAAAAAACAGGAGAGATTATTTCACATTGTCTTGTATAGTTTTATGCGAGTACCAGAAATGTTAAATCCTAATTTAATAAACAGGGACTCCTTTGTTTTGCAAATTGAAAGCAAATTCTGCTGTTTTGTTTTTGTCTCATGCTTTGGAAGCATCTGAACTTCCAACCACAGTCCGCTTGTGCTCTGAGAAGGTTGCAAGCACCCTCTTCGATCCCCACTGCCTCCACTCTGGGTCTCTGAGCAAGACCCTTAACCCCACACTGCTCCCCGAGCACCGCGCAATGGCAGCCCACTGCTCCCCAAGGGGATGGGTTAAATGCAGAGATACATTTTTCCAGTGTGAGATCAATAAAGTTCAATTATTATTATTATTATTATCAAGCAGCACCTCTAAAATAGATCTGTGTATACCTTTAAAAACCAAATAGATACGAGTTATTAAATACTCGTTATCTTTCTGAAAGAATGTGTTTAAACACTTTAGAAATTACACTTGTATAGGAAATCGGTTTGGGTTTATACATTATCAGAACTAAATATTTTCCAGGTGTATCTTTAACTACTGGCCCTGAAAGAACTGATAACATAGAATTAGATTGAATACTGTGAGTTAAAAATCCTCCTGCGTATATTGAGCAATACATCTCTCACTGTTTCTGAGATGCTGCTTTGGATAGTCGATCAATAAACCTGAAGGTTTTATGGGTGCAGCTATCTCTCATGGTCTAAATGATCATTTAAGTTTAATGTGGCATTACTAACTGTATGTAACAGATAATCGTTTCATCACATGCAATTTTTTGTTGCTTCGGTGAAGCTAGTCAAGGTCTGAGGAAAGAAGGCTTGAAAAACATTAAGCTTTTGTAATTTATCATATTTTATGATTTTTTTTGTATATTTTCTTGCAGATTTTTTGCTGAGTCCTACTGATAGAAAGAAATTCACACAATTTCAAAGATAATATTTGCAATAAACTTTTATAGGTCAGTACAATCAGATTAAAACATTAAAAAAAAGTTTAGTAATATAAGTACAGCAAATAATTAGGTTTCCAGAGACCATTAATAGTCAGTTACCCTTTATTCTAGAATACCAAATGCTTCAACAATAAACCTAAATGAGAAACTTTGTTTGCTATAAACTAAATTCTTAATTCAGAAAATATAAAACTACTGTACTGTTGGATGTTTAAATGTACTTACAAGTTTGTCCAGTTCCTCAAAGTGCTGCACTGGCCTCACTGTCATTGTATGTAGAGACTAGGGACAGACTGTCTCTGGCTGCTCTTTGCACAAACACCTTAGGACTTATAGCGCTGTTGCTGTGTGGGTCAGAGTCCACTGTAGCTTCAGCAATCAGCTCCAATACGTAACAGTGGGAAGTGTCTAATTCTGCACATCCGTTGTGCAGCACAAATTGGTCTGGGAAAATATTTGGTTGCATCTTGCTTATGGTGTAAATTTTATTTGTACAAAAGAAAAACGTACCTGATCTTATCTTTTGATAAATCTGGGATCTTCTTCTTTAGAAGAAAAAAAGCAAAGACAGAGGTCCAATATATATATGTCATTATTCCATTGACTTGGAGTGATTGCTTTTATCAGAGCTGTGTTTGTTGGGTTCTGTTTCCAGCTCTTAGTTCAGTCTTATTGGTCTCTCCCAACCCAACGCTTTGCTCCCCCTTAGCTGCCATTGATGCTGTGGATTGTTTCCCCCTGGTTTCCATGTCTCAGTACTTCCACAGTATTCAACCTCTCTGACTCATTGCTGGTTTCTACTGTTCCTCTCTCCTGTGTTTCTAACTGTAAGGTCTTTGTTTCATCATTAAAACTATTTATAATTATTAAGTTATCCATCATGCAACTTCCTCTGTCCTGTTACCATTTTGGTCCTCTATATTTTAAGCATTTTATCTTGACAAATAATATTTTTGTCAGTCACATCACAGAGACAGTTATTTTGCAAAAATAACCCAAAACTTGTTTGGTCCCTTTAGCAAACACAGCAGCTAAATGGTTATATATAACCTTAAACCGGTGACTAACATTTAGCCTTTTGATGCAACAACTTTGTTATTTTTAAAGGGCAGATGCTTAGGTGGTTTAACTATTATATTGATGGTTATACATTAAGCCTTTAACCTACACCACCCCCTACTGGCAGCAGAGTGAATCTACAACTTTTTCTTTGCTTCTGTAAGAATTTCAGCCGCATAGTTTTGTCCACAAAGGTCATTTTAGCTAAATAATTAAACAACCTTGACCCAAAATAACACCAGCTGGGCTTTTCCTATTACTGCCTCACAACATTGTTGTTTATGGTTCTTTTTCTCTGGGACAAAATTAAAGTTTCAAGTAAACAAAGTTTCAAGGACACAGGAAAGGCATAGACGTCACCAAATTAAAAAAAATAAATAGATTTTCATCTCCTGAATATAATTTTATTCACACCTGCACTGTTACTAATTAGTAGTGTTGCACTGATGCCATTTTTTGGCCCCAGTACCGATACCTGGCTGTGCAATATCGGGCCGATATCATACCGATACCATCTGTTTGAAATTGATGTGTGTGTATACTATATATATATATATATATATATATATATATATATATATATATATATATATATATATATATATATATATATATATATATATATATATATATATATATATATATATATATATATATATATATAACTGTATAACTGCATACTACTTGGATTTAATAATGAAATAATTGCCATCATGGATTTATCAAGCTGCTGCCTACCTTTATGAAGCAGGAAAAAGACTACCGGTAATACAAAGTGAATCCAGTAGAACTTTTTATTGCCTACCTGGAATGGGTGACAATAATTGAATAACCTTTTGGTTCTCAATATTTGTTGGTACTCACCGATACCGATACCACAATTTTAGTGCAGTAATTAGATTGTCATTGGGTCAAGAAAACGATGTATTTAGATCAGCGGATGGAATCCTGAAAAGGTCAGATTTTCTTTTGCTTTGTCCATTTGATTTCTCCAGAGTAAAACAATCCAATTATGCCCTGCGATGGACTGGCGACCTGTCCAGGGTGGACCCCGCCTCTCGCCCGTAGACAGCTGGAGATAGGCACCAGCACCCCTCGCAACCCCACTTGGGATTAAGCGTGTCAGAAGATGGATGGATGGATGGATGGATGGATGGATGGATGGATGGATGGATGGATGGATGGATGGATGGATGGATGGATGGATGGATGGATGGATGGATGGATGGATGGATGGATGGATGGATGGATGGATGGATGGATGGATGGATGGAAAACTGTCCAATTAGTTCAGTCATTTTAAAAATATATATATATATTTTAATAATTTTATTTATTATTTTATTAATTTTATCTAATTAAAATGTATTTAGTTATTTTATTAATTTTATTTATAAAAAAAATAATAATATATATATATATATTTTTTTTTTTTTTATGATGCACCTTTGAAAAATATGCTTCCTTGCATATGATAATCCTTCTTGTTCCCTTGGATTTAAAGCCAATACCTTTTTCTAGGCAACTTAAAGCATATTGTTAGTGTTTTTCACATGAAACTATTTAACTAGAACAAAGTTCAGACCAATATGTACCTAGTGTATTCCTTACAAAAACAATCAGGATCAATAATTTAGAGCTTAAAGAAAACCAGATATGGGAGCATTCACAAAAGGTTAAATCAGTGCATCTCAGGCCATAATGCCAGTCAGACTTTACCTAGCCATATGGATGGCAAAGACTACAGAATAAATTAAACATACAGCCCCAGATATATTTTTGAACAAACTACCAAACTTTCTTAGTGGATTGTTGGAAAAACCATAAAACTTTAGGGCCCTTAAAACTTGTATGGCAGGTATATTCTACCTCTGCTGAAGGTTGTTCCAAAATATGCACAAGGCTATAAAACTATTCTTTTTAAACCTACCTGATGTGAATTAAAGATTACAAGCAGCAAAATAGATTAAACATTTAAATAAAAATTGTAAGATTTGTGTGTCTATTTTTTAAAGCAAGTTAAAGCCTGGTGTTAATGCTTTAACCAGGCTGACATTCTTATTGATTTACGGGTTAAGATCAATGGGAAAAAAAACAACTTTGCTCAGTCTTAAGCGTCTGAAACAGGCTCCAAGGTCAGAAAAAGCCTATTGATTGTGAGCAATCAATAACTTCTTGAAGTCAGAACCACTGAGAAATGAGCTGACTCGAAGCAGAGTGGAGAGAGAGGCCTCTCTGCTCAGAATAGTCTGGAGACAAATCCTCATTGAAAACCCTTTTATCCAAAGTAGCCTACAGATAGGACCCCACCATTGTTCAAGCAATTCTTGGTGCTTTTTGGATATGATCTCACACAACTCAAGAAGCTCACTGGAAAAAATGGATATCTAGATAAGTAATAAGTGCATTTGTTCTTGAATTGAGGAGGTAAAATAGACATTTTGCCAATGGAACAAGATAATTTACATTTAAAATAAGAAAACACAATTGCATTATCTTATTTCAAGTGCATTTTATCTAATTATCTTATTTTAAGAGTAAAAATACTCATTCCATTGGCAAACTACCTCATTTACCTACGGTACTTAAAATAAGGATAAATGCACTTAATTTAAGAAACATTTACTTATTTCTAGATCGTTTTTGCAGCACTCAACAGAAAACAAAAGGCAAAATAATCAACTTCCCACTAAAAGCGCTGAATTGTTTGGATCACAACCAGAGGAGGGTAGGGTGTTCAAAAATGAACTTAACCCTTGCTAACACACCTGAAAAGTAAAAACGCACATCATTTTTTATTTATTTTATTGATGCAAATAATCCAGAAACAAGCAATGAGTCTGAATGCTGTATGTTAGATGGATATGCTCACAGTAGCCTGAAATCTATGGTTAAAAATACTTATGTATTTATGTAATTGTCTAATAGTGTAAATAAACCTGAATTCTGAGTTTTAAATGACTGTAAGCCAAAATAAAAACAAAAAATATAAATATAGTAAAGGAATCCATTGAATGAGTTTCACCTTTAAAGCTAACTTGCTGATTTAATTTCTGATTATATAATAACTAACCAAGATGCATCTGTAGATTCGAAGTATTAGGTTTAAAATGAGCAAATTACTCTTTAAGACCTTAGACAGCGACACTATATATGCTTAGACAAGCAGCATGGGATTTAATATATTGTTTGAAAGGTAAAGCCTTATTTTTCTATCAGGAAAAGGTGGTTTTAGTGGTGACCAGTGAGTGCAAACACTACCGGTAAAGAAAGGGAAAAAAATTTTTTTTCTTTTACATATTAATAGTCTATCATATACAGGCTCACCTAAAGAATCAGCATATCTGGTCAAAAAAACACACAAGCTCATGTTTCCCTCGTCCTCTTTATATATATTCTCTGCTGTACAAAATTATCTTAAATATATTAGTTTTCTTTTTAATCTCTTTTTCTTATAACTAAAGTCCAAAACTTCTCTATATTTCCTTTTTAATGTTTTTTTTTTATTCTATTGCTGTCTTGGGGAAGAAGAAGTTGGAAAACAAAGATAATGTTGGGTATTTTTACCTTTTTTTTTAATAATAAAATTTAGTTAAGTAAGTGGGACTTATACCCTTAATGTTGGTGTAAGAGCATACAAAGAAAAAGAAGAAAAAGAAAAAAAACGCTAAATTAAACCTCAACCAATCAGACGTTTTCAATTATCTTATCAGTGTCATTTGTTCTAATATACCAGCATGAGTTCAGCATATCTCATATTTGCAAACTGGCACATTTCACTTTTAGCACCTATATTTTGCCAACATCTGTAGATAAATATGATGGGTAAAATATTATTAGCTTATACACTGGGTGCTCTTCACCTCCATTTAATAAATGTCATAGACTAGAAGTACACTGTTCAATCAGCCTGCATTTCTTATTTTGATCTTTTTTCTCATTGGAGGGTATAAAAAAAAAGAATAAACTGATTTAGCTCTTTAAAACTCATAAGCTCAACTCATTAGGAAAATATAAGTGAAATCCTTTAAACATTTAACCACTGTTGATTTCTGTAATTTGAAGCTTAGGATCGATTTCTTTATATTATCTTTTCAGTATTTTTTTGCTGCTTGTTTTTAAATAATTACTTCCTACCTACTTTACTTAAATCAGTTAACAAGCCTTAAGGTGAGGATTAACATCTATGTTATGATGGACAAATAGATAATAAAGTGACACAGAACAAATGTCCTTTACACATTTCATCAGTTTTTGATATTTTTGCCAAAGATTTAAGATCGTCCATCTTCTCCAGCTTATGCCGTCAGGGTCGCGTT